CATCTCGTTAACCTCTGCTCTGAGTTTTATTATTTCCTTACTCCTGTTCGGGTTGTGCTCCTTTTGTTGGTCCTTATCCAAGCTCTTAAGCGGTGAGGTTAGGTTATTTATGTGTGCTCGCTCCTCCTTCCTGAGGAATGCTTGTAGAGCTATAAACTTTCCTCTTAACACAGCTTTTGCTGTGTCCCTTACGTTTTGGTAACTCGTGTTCTCATTTTCATTCGTTTCTTGGAATCTTTTGTTTTCCTCTTTGATTTCCTTTCTAAGCCACTCGTTGTTCAATAGCTCACTGTTTAATTTCCAGGTGTTTGATTTAGTTTTCTGTTTTTGTGTGTGATTTACTTCTAATTTCAGCGCATTATGGTCTGAGAAGATTGTTGATACAATCTCTTTCTTCTTAATTTTATGGAGGCATGTTTTGTGGCTCAGCATGTGGTCTATCTTAGAGAATGTTCCATGTACGCTAGAGAAGAATGTGTATTCAGGTTTTTGAGGATGAAGTGTCCTGTATATATCTACTAAGTCCCTTTCTTCCATTGTTTCCCTCAGATGAAGTATGGCCTTGCTAAGCTTGAGTCTGGTTGATCTATCAAGAGGTGAGAAAGCGGTGTTGAAGTCGCCCACTAGTATTGTGTTGCTATTGATGTCTTTTTCCAAATCTATGAGTAGTTGTTTCAAGTACTTTGCTACTCTCATTAGGTGCATATACATTAATTATTGTAAGTTCTTCCTGTTGTACAGATCATTTGATCAATAAGACATAGCCTTCACTGTCTCTTATGACCTTCTTCACTCTGAAATCGATGTGGTCTGATATTAGGATGGCTACCTCAGCTTTTTTATGGGAGCTGTTTGCCTGTAGGATTGTTTTCCAGCCTTTGACTCTGAGTCTGTGTTTGCTTTGACTATTGAGATGTGTTTCTTGCAGGTAGCAGAATGTTGGGTTCAATTTTCTAATCCATCCTGCCACTCTATGTCTTTTAATTGGTGCATTTAACCCGTTGACATTGAGAGAGATTATTGTTATGGGATTTTGTCCCATTGTTCTGTTTAAATTTTGTGTATTTGAGGGGCCTGTCTTGCTTTAAAGTAGCCCATTTAGTTGTTCTTGTAACCATGGTTTTGAGTCTATGAGCTGTTGTTTGTCTGTGAAATTGTGTGTTGTTCCTTCTATTATGAATGAGAGTCTCGCTGGGTAAAGTATTTTTGGAGAGGCATTTATTTCATTGAGTTTTTTCACTATGTCCCACCACTGTTTTCGGGCTCTGAGGGTTTCATCAGAAAAATCAGCTGTGAATTTTAAGGATGCTCCTTTGTAAGAGATTTCTTTCTTCGATTTTGCTGCTTTCAGAATTTTGTCTCTGTCTAAGGTTTTGGTCATTTTTATCAGGATGTGTCTTGGGGTATTTTTATTCGGATTTCTTCTAGCTGGTACCCTTCGGGCCTCCTGAATGTGGTCACAAGTTTTCTTCAGCTCTGGAAACGTTGTAGCAATGATGTTTTTGACAGTTTCTTCTTCATCGAGGTTTTCTTCCTGTCCCTCTGGAACTCCAATAATTCTTATGTTACCCCTCTTGGCTTCATCACGATCTTCTCTTGCCATCTGTTCCCGAACTGTGAGTCTCTTTTCCATTTTCTGCTCTTTTCTGGAGAGTCTCTGAACTTCATCTTCGAGCTCAATGATTCTGTTCTCAGCAGCTGTTACTCTGCTGCTGAGGCGTTCCACTGAGTTTTTCAATTCGCCTACCAGAATTTTCGGGTCTGACATTTCCGATTGCATTTTCCTCATTTCTGCCTTCAAATCCTCTTGTCTTCTATTGGCATTGTTTTCCATTGTTTCTTTTAGTTCCCGTAGCATCCTAAGTAGCTCCCTTCTGAATCCCTTGTCAGAGAGGTTGTCTAACACTACAGTACTGTTGGTGTCATCTGGGCTAAACTCTTGAATAAGAAAGTTTGGTGGGCTTTTGCGTTGCTTTACCATTGTGAGAAGTATGGTTTAGTCCTTCACATTCACTGTTACTATTCTGCTTGATATGCAGTGTGAGTTAAGATAGGCTTATGAGTTATTGGCTACTGTGTTTCTAGTGGCTGAGCTAAAATAGAGAATATTCCATCTAAGAGGGTAGCTTATGGTTCCTATGGCATAAGTAGTAGGAGAATATTTCATGGCCACGTATGCGGCCGCGGCTCCGGAAAGAGTCCCTGGCGCTGGGCGCTAGGCTGTACCTGGTTGGAATAGGAGACGTTTAGCTTTGTTGCCGAGCACTGGGCCTCCGTTCCCGTCCCGCACAGATCAGGGGAGAAAACCGGCTTTCTAGAAGATCGAGCTAGCTGTGCATGCCCAGAGAGAGTCCCAGGCCCTGGGGGCGGGCTGTACCTGGTTGGAATAGGAGACGACGTTCAGCTTTGTTGCCGAGAGCTGGGCCTCCGTTCCCGTCCCGCGCAGATCAGGGGAGAATACCGGCTTTCTCTCTGCTGTGTTTTTGCACCCCCGGGGGTATTTTTCCAGACTTGTTATTTCTAGGTCATATGGAATCTCAGTTTCTACTCTTTTGAGGAATTCCCATATTGTTTTTCAAAAACTCTGGTCCAATCTTTTTCAGAAAGTCTGGACCAGTTGGCATTTCCACCAACAATGAATGAGAGTACCTTTCTCCCTGCATCCAAGCCAGCACTTGTTCTTATTCTTTTTGATGTGTACCAGTCTCTGTGGTGTAAGGTGTATCTCACCTTGTTTTCATTTGCATGCCCCTGATGATTAGTGATGTAGAGCATTTTTATGTGCCTTTTGCCCATTTGCATTTCATTTTTGAGGAAGTTTCTGTTCATTACTTATTCCCAATTTTGATGGCATTGGGGTTTTATTATAAAGTTCTCTCAGTGCCTTATATATTTTAGGTATTAAAATTATCTTATAAGTATTGGGTAAATAAATTTTCCCATTCTGTGGGCTATCTCTGTATCTTGGTCAACATTTCTTTTGATGTGCAGAAACTACTTGCTTATTGTAGTCCCATTTGTTTATCTTTAGCTCCACTTATTTGGTCAATGGTGTTTCATTCACTGTAAAGATGCCTGTAGCTTCAATGTCATGGAGGGTTCTATCTACTTTTTCCTCCGTGTATCTTATGGATTAAGGTCTGATACTGAGTTCTTTAATCCATTTTGATATGACTTTTGGGCCTGGTGTTAGAGGTTTGAGTTCAATTTTTGTATGTCACTGTCCAGTTTTCCCAACACCGCTTGTTGAAGAGTCTTTCTTTGCTCCGCTTCACATTTCTTTAACTTTTGTCAAAGATTAAGTGATCATATCATATATTTAAATGTCTCTGTCAATATTTTCCGTCTTCTGCATTGGTCTGTGGTTCTGTCTCTCTTCCAGTACAATGCTGTTTTAGTTACTACTGCTTTCTTTTACAGTTTGAAGTTGGGCAAGTTGATGCCTCCCATCTTCTTCGTCCCAAGGATTGCTTTAGCTATTTATGGGGATTTTTTGCTTCATTTGAATTTAAAGAGTGTTAAGTCAACACAAGTTATTTAGAATTTTCATATTTTCACTAAAACTATTTATTGTACTTCTTATGTCATTATCTTATAGTTGGTCGCCTTCAGAATAAGGAACAACTCATTTTCACACCATGAAGCCCTTATTTAGACTCCATACTGATTTCTCTCAGTATAGTTGTAAGGAGAAATTCTTTCTTTCCTTTATACTTTCTGCATTTTATTCAAAGTTTTGAAGTTGTTCGGAGAGCCCGGCAAGCTACCGAGAGTATTCGATATGCCAGACACAGTAACAACAAAGTCTCCAATGGAGACGTTACTGGGCCCGCTCGAGCAAATCGACGATCAACGGGAGGGCCTTTGTGTAATAAATTTTTAAAAAAATGTCTAAGGCTGTATTTCCCTGGGAAATACTTAGGCAACTAAACACCACAGAGCTCAAGCCCCTAAGTTCTTGGAAGAATATGTGAACACCATTGCAGTTAAGAGTTACACTTCCTGTCAACTTTTATCTATCCCTAGCCTAATATGCTATGGAAAATCATGACAAGTTACCACTTTCATTTACCTAATCTCATATAATAAGGTTCTGCACAAGAAAGCTATTTCTGAATCCACTGAAAAAGATTAAGGGGTTAAGGAGAAATTCTACAAGTTTGAGCACATGTCTTATATGCATGGGGGCCTGCATTTAATCACTGACACTGCATGACTCCCTGACTACTGTTGAGTTTAGCCTTGGTGTCCCACAATATTTCTGAATCTGAGCTGCACTGTATAACTGTACTATAGCACTGAATTATCAAGAACTCTTACTGCCAAACTATATATTCCTGGGAGTGGCCCTGGACTCCCCAAGCACCACTGGAAAATTCTCTCTCCCCAACAAATTAGATTATTAGATTATATTTGGTAAAAGCTGTTATATACTTATAACAAATAGGGTTTCAATTGGAATTTTTATTAAGAGAAGAAACAAGTTGTCCTGGTAGATTTTTTCCTTATTGTATTTGTGCCACAACTAACTGTGCTTAGGGCTTTCTACACAGGGATCATTCCTATGAGACACAGGGTACCATACAGAGCTCCAGGGATCAAACTCAGGTCAGCTTCATGCAAGGCAAGCGCCTTACCCTTGTACATTTATTTATTTATTTATTTATTTATTTTTGGGTCAAACCCAGCGATGCTCATCCCTGACTCTGCGCTCAGGAATTACTCCTAGCAATGCTTGAGGGACCATATGGGATGCCCAGAATTGAACCTGGATCGGTAGTTTGCAAGGCAAATGCCCTACCTGCTGTACTATTGCTTCAGCCCCCTGTACCACCTTTATCAGGCCCTCCTGATATATTTTTTTCAGTTTTAAATAAATGTTATTTTGCCCTTCAGAACATGATAATATATTAATGTTTTACCCAATCAATTCAATGTTTGCATGTATGATACATTTAATGAAACCAATATTGCAGATTTTAAACATTTGACTTTTCTAGGTCCTAAGGGTGAACCTGGTGTCCCAGGGCATCCAGGACGTATGGGACCTCCTGGACTTAAAGGAAACATGGGTGAGATGGGGTTTCCAGGTAAGTGATAATAGTATACCATGTAATTGATATCATCAATGGAAGATGGTTCACTCTCTAATATCAGAAATAAGACCAGTGTTCACGGAATCAAAACAATGTAAATGTAACGAATGGGTAGAATTCTCATTGCACAAACATTTTAAGTGGGCGTTAAGGATCAGAACTTTTGAAACCTCAAAAATTATAATTCATGAATATATCTTTCTCCAACTTTACCCATTTATCTTAATTTTTTAAAACATAAGTATATATCATAATATTTCATCATTTATGACTCAAAATTTGCAGTTTTCTTTTAAAATATATTACTTGTTTATATGTTTATTATACATGCCACAAATTTAAAAAATAGTTTCTAAAACACTGCATTTTACATCTTTCAACAGGACCTCAGGGTCTGAAAGGATCATCTGGACCTCCTGGTGTTCCTGGACAACCTGGCTCCCCAGGACTAACAGGACAGAAAGGAGAAAAAGGTGATACAGGTGCTTCTGGCAGTCGTCTTCCAGGTCTGCCTGGCCCAAAGGTAAATTTACTTCAGGTACAAGGCTCAGAAATGAATTTTTCTTGAATAATTTGCTTTTTAACTAAATATTAATTCTTCAGTAAACATTATTACAAAATTGCATAAGATATTGTTTCTCATCTTTCCTTTTATTGTAAAAATCTGTGCTTTAGAGTATGTAGCCTGTTTGAAACAAAGGAAGAAAACATTCTGGTTTCTTTTCTCTTTTATCTTAATCTCTGAGTATGTTTCAGTAAATTAAAGGCATCTCTCTGCCTGGTTTTAGTTTTCTCTTTCCTTTCAAGTGATGAAGTTTCTAATCTTTGTTCTAACATTTTATTAACTAAATGGAAGATAATTATAAGCAATTAATGAAAGTGCAGTTCCATTCCTAACTGTGTATCTGCCATAGTTATCTGAAAATAATTTTGCATATCCCTCCTCACCCTTAGTTAGTGCTGAAACTTTGGTTGTGCTTTTCAGGTATTCAGCTGCAGTTTATATTATGATAATAATCCAATATCACCTAGTGACGTTGAGCATTATCATTGTGTGGGATAGACTATAATCTTCTTGAGCAGAGCAAAAAACTTTTTTAGATGATAAATATTTTTGTTTTTGAAAGAATCTTCTTTAAAAAACGAGGCAAATTAAACTATACGACTCTGTTTGAAGAAACCATGATGCAAATATTCATTAAGGAAAAATGGTTACATGTGAATTAACTCTGACCTCCAAAACTTCAGTATAGTTAGTTTTAGTGTTAACTGACCACAGAAACTTCAGCATAGTCATAACTTCAAGAAGATAAGACATACATTATGAAGTCATCACAAACGGGACCCGTGGTGGTGGAAAATTGGCACTGGTGGAGGTATGGGCATTTGATCATTGTATAATTGAAACCCAAGCACAAAAATTTGTAATTCTACAACTGTACCTCATGGTGTTTCACTAATAAAAAAAACAGGACAAAATGACTATCTAATTGGGTAGGAAATAGAATTTGATGTTTCCAATGAATAATTGATAAATTCTTTATATTAAGATGAAATTTAGTTCTTGGAGGAGAATTTTATTGATTCACATGCTTATAGAAAACAATGAATTGTATTTTAAGACACTTTGTTGATATTCACTCTCTAGACCAGACTGTCTGGATCCAAATGCAGATTCATCCATTTACTATCTATGTTAGTGTGATATAGGGATAAAATACTGTCTTTATCATAGGAGTGTTAAGAATTGATAAGAATTATGCATGTACTTATCATGGAAATAACTTGAGTTCTGGATTCTGAAAACCTTGTTGCTTCTTACCAGAAACTTTCATCACTTGAATTCTTTAAGATTAAATTTTATTATTTATATATGAACTTATAAATCAACTCAAAAGTTGTTAAAATGATTGAATGAAAGGATTTATGTTAACTACTTTAATAACATGCTTACCATATAGCTTAATATCTGTAAATACTCTAGAGTTGCTTGAGATTACAGCAGACAAGGTGCTTGTCTTTCAGAAAGCAACCTCGGTTCATTACCAGACACCCTATATAGTCCCCCAGTCCTGCCAGGTGTAAACCCTGAGTACTGCCGTTGTGTCTCCCCCCAAAAAAATATAAATAATTTTATGCAATTATGCAATCTAAGTCACGTAGGAATTTATTTTGTGTGTGTGTTTTCAGGGTGAACCTGGTCTGCCTGGATATCCAGGTAACCCTGGTATGAAAGGTTCTGCAGGAGTTACTGGTTTGCCTGGAGCAAAAGGAGAACCTGGAGCAAAGGGGCAACCAGGCCTTCCTGGATTCCCTGGTAATACTCTTTTTAAAAATGCTTCCTTCTCCTCTTCCTTATCATAGAGGGTTTTGTTTGACAGGTTTTTATTCTATTTCTCAACTAGATAGCACTTGTAACTAAATCTTGAACTAGATGCTTAACATTTTGCTTAAATTATTTGTTAAAAATAAAAATTGATACTACCAACCAATGAGACAATATCCTATGGATAGAGTGCCTGGATTGACATGGCATTTTTCAATCTTTGACTGCTAGCCACAAATCAATTAATAATCCTTTCTATTTTTTTTATTTTTTGGTTTATACCTGGCTGTGTTCAGAGTTACTCATGGTTCATGCTCAGGGATCACTCCTGGTGGTCCTGGGTGAACCGTATATGGTTGCGAATCTAATCCCTGTTTTCTGTGTGCAAAACAAGCATCATCTGCTATACTATATTTCTGGCTCCAGTTTTATAGTTTTATAGTTAATAATATACATTGTCAAGGCCTAGCCTGCTGCTTATTCTCTTACAATGTCGTACTTAGCCACACAGAGTAGGTGGCTGGTGGTAGATCAGGCATACAACTCATTCAAATAACACCACATGATATTACAAAAGGAACTTAGCATGATAATAAGTACAGAGCCTTAACTAGATTGTTTCAGTTCAGGATTAAGCTTATATAAAGCCCATAGCAGTGCTTGGACACTCAAACATGGTACTGGAATATCAACCTGGAGTTAGCCTTCACCTTACTCTCTGTATTATCTATCTGGTCTCCTGTATTTGCTTTTTCCTTGCTACTTTTAGGGTTTTCTTTCTTTGCCTTTTGCCATTTTAATTACAGTGTGACTTGGTGTGTGCATCTTTATGTTTGTTTTGCTTTGAACATATTGACCTTCCTGATCAGATTCCTGGATCTTTTTAACTTATATTCAGGATAATTATGGCTGTTAATTACTTAACATTTCTTGTCCCTTTCTTCTCTCCTTTTGGAACCCAACTTGTAAATTTTATTCCTTATAATGCTATTCAAAAAATGTCTTGGTTTCTCATCAGAGAGATAATACAGTGAGTAGGACTCTTATCTTGCATATGGCTAACTTGGGTTCAATCCCTGAATTCCCTTGTGGTTCCTGAGCTTATCGGGAGTAATCCCTGATCACAGAGCCAGGAATAATCCCTTATCATAGCTGTGTGTGGCCCCCAAACAAAAACAATGTTCTTTGTTTGTTCCCTGGTAATTTCCTCAGTCTTATACTCTGGTTCACTGATTATTCAACCTCTGCCACTCTTCTCTTAAGTCCATCTATTGCATTTTAATACAACTGCTATATTTGTTAGCTCACTGATTTCTGTTTTGAGTTTTCCCCCCAAACTTTGTCTGTCCTCTTTAAATTTTAAAATTTCCTTTCATTTCCTTGTCTTAGGAAACAACATTAGGATCGTTGTTTTGAAACCTACATCAGAGAGTTTAGAAATCTCTGCTGAGAATAGGGTTCTTCCCAGGCATTTTTCTTCATCCAACACTGCAGGTTAAATCTTCTTTACTTCATTCTTCCAAGTGTTATGGGTTTTTTGTCTTGGTAAGAATCTCTCTGTGTGTGCCTCTCTCTGTCTCTGTCTCTCTCTCCCCCACCCCACAGTGCCTACAGCTCTGCTTGGCTGCTCATGGTTTTAAGGCTCGTAGTAAGGCCCTCTAAGGTGCAGTCTAGGCTCCAAGCTGGGGCCCTCCTTGGTAATGTGCTCCTTAATAGCTACTCTTTTCCCAGGAACTGTCTACCACTTGTTCCTGGGACTTTCAGGCATAATTATCCTAAGATGCTGAAAACCACCTTATACTGAGCTAGTTTCCTGTAATGCAGTTGGGGCCAAGGTCCTTCCAGGCTGCTCATGGACCTCAATGGGACCTCAGCTCCCTCCTCAATATTACAATTTTGTTCTCTGCAGAGAAATGTTAGGCCTTTTCCCTTGCGAAAGTAGGGAATTTTCTCTGGAATACTCCTTAAAACTCTCTTTCTAACGCTTATCCTTGGTGTTTCACATACATTTTTGTGATTTAGTCTTTAGGTAGATTTTGTAGTCCAGTAATTGTCTAAATTTTAGGTACTCTGGCAGTCATATAGGGGTTCTCATTGAGCTATTACATTTCCAAGGGAGTAATAATATTAAAGATGTTTTCATATACTTACGGTGAATTTGTATAGCATCCCTTTGAAGTACATGCTCAGTTTGTTATGCTCATATTTTATTGGGCTATTTGCCTTTTTTCTTAGTGATTCAGAGTGATTATATAAGGCATAGTCTTTTGTCAGATACATATATTGGAAATGTTATTCTGATATCATATTTGTCTTTCACTTTCGTGATGCTGTTATATGATGAACAAAAGTTGGTAATTTTAGTAAAGTTCAGTTTAACAATCTTCTTTGATGTTTTGTGCCCTCTTCAAAAAATATTTGCCTACAGAAATTATGGAATATTCTTCCAGTTTCACATAATTTTAACATTTATTCTTTCATACATATATTTTAATCTATATTAAATAATAATTCATGGTTTGTGGTAGGGTAATTTTTTTCTACAGAGATGGTTGGTCTGCATTTCTTGTTTTGTTCTCCTGTTCATCAGTCAACAATTTATTTTATTTTATTTAATTTTGGCTTTTGGGTCACACTCAGCTGAGCTCAGAGATTACTCCTTACTCTGTGGTCAGGGGTCACTCCTGGTGGTACTCAGTGTACCATATGTGGTGCCCAAATTAAACCCAGGTGGGCTTCATGCAAAACACACCTGCTGCTGTGCTATCTCTCCAGCCAAAGACAGTAATTTTAAAGAAAATAAATGGTGAAGCCTCAGGCCAGAAGAAATTATTTGTAAAATATATATCTAACAAGGGCCCAGTGAGATATAGCTTCTAGGATGCTTGCCCTGCACACAGCTGACCAGGGTTCGAATCGTAGCATCTCATATGGTCCCACAAGTACTAACAGTAGTGATTTCTGAATGAAGAGCCAGGCGAGGTATAAAGCTGAATATCACTGGTTGTGACCCAAGAACAAACATTACATATTTGATGAATTATAAATTATATCTAGTATATATGCATATATGAAGTGCTTGTACAAATCAATAATAGCATAATATAATATTTTAGAAAATAATATTTTAATAGGGAAAATTTTGAACATGCCTTTCCTAAAATAAGATATATGAATGGCTAATAATCACATTTAAGTTAAAATTAAAGTCATAGCACTACATGTATGCCCAAATAGCTACAATTAAAATAGTTTTATATCAATATATATAGTATGAGAATATGTAGCAAATTTTTGAGCAAAAATAATTTATGATTCTGTGAGTAAAAATGATTTATCAGGTATTTTTAAAAAGACAGCAAACATTAAAACTGAAGAGAGTGAGTAAAAATGATTTGTCAGGTATTTTTAAAAATACAGCAAACATTAAAATTGAAGAGAGACAAACTTTTAAAAGTCCCATTAACAGTTATGCCTCAGAAAATCAGGTACCTGTGAATCAATTTTATAAAAGAAAGACTTATACAAAGAAAACTTTAAATCACAAAAATATATGACACAAGAAAATATAAACATTCCCTGTTCATGTAATAATATTAATATCATCCAAATGACATTCTCTCCCAAATCATTATCATATGTAGTGCAGTCCCTATAAAAATACATATGACTTTTTTTTGCTTTTTTGGTCACACCGGCATTCCAAAGGGGTTACTCCTGGCTCATGCACTCAGGAATTACTCCTGGGGGTGCTTGGGGAACCATATGGGATGCTGGGAATCGAACTCAGGTCAGTCACGTGCAAGGCAAACGCCCTACCAGCTGTGCTATTGCTCTAGCCCCTTTTAATTTATATTAAATAATATCACTCTTGCTCCCCCCACCACCACCCAGCCAAAGCAAAACAAATATGGGAGGAAATTGCCCCAACTTCAAACTGTGCTATATAATGATAGTAATAAAAATAGTTTAGTACTAGAATAAAGGCAGACTCTCAGACATGTGAATTGAAAGTCCAGACATAGATCCTTAGATATATAGACAGCTGGTCTTCAACTAAGGAGGTAAAGTATAAAGGAGAGCAAAGAAAGCTTCTTCAACAAATGATGCCAGGAAAACCGGTCAGTCACAACCGAACAAATGAATTCAGACCCCTTTCTAACACCATGAACAGACGTCAAATCAAAATGGACTAAAACTCTACATATCAGGGGCTGGAGATATAGTGTAGCCAGTAGGGTGTTTACCTGCATGTAGCTAACCTGAGTTAAAACTCTGGAATTCCATATGTTCCCCTGAGTACTGCCAGGAATGCAGAGCTCGGAGTATTCCTGGAGTAATGATGGGTGTGTCCCAAACCCTCTCTTGCCTGCAAAAAATATCCTCGACAGATGACCTGAATCCATAACTTGTATTGAAGAAAACATAGGAAGAATACTTCATGACATTTGTTCCAATGCCACTGAAGCAAAGATAAACCAAAGTAACAATAAACAAATGGTACTTTAAATTAAGAAGCTTCTATATTTCAAATAAATAATGATCAGAACAAAAAGATACCCTACAGACTAAGAGAAAATATTTGCCCCCTGCTGATATATCAAAGGGTTAATAATCCATGTTTATAAAGTAAAACTGTAGAACATTACTAGGAAAAAAGTCAACACCAACACAATGGGGTTATGAAATGAATAAAAACTTCCTCAAAGAAGACATACAGATGGCCATACAGATGGCTAAATGGTTTATGAAAAAATTGCTCTACATCACATATCATCAGGAAAATGCAATTCAGAAGAGCAAGATATAATCTAACACCAGTGAAACTGGCACATATCACAAAATAATCAAAACAACTAGTATAGTCATGGGTGTGGAGGAAGGAAAAGACCCTCATTTACTGATGGTGGGAATATTGAATGGTACAACCTGTTTGGAGCACTTGTCAAAAAAACCTAGAATTCATAGCTTATATATGACTCAGAAATTCTGCTCCTTTGAATCTACTTTAAGGGCTCAAAAACTATTCAGAAAATTTATTTGCACTCATATGTTTATTGCAGTACTATTCACAATAGCCTAAATCTGGGAACAACAAGTGTCTGAGAACAAACGATTAGATAAACTATGATATATATATAGGAATATTAGTTGACTATAAGAAAAGATACAATCATACAATCTGCTGTTATGTGGTTGGATCTGAATAGTATCATATTAAGTGAAGTTAATCAGAAGGAGAGGGACATATAATATTCATCATGTGGTATTTAAAGAAACATAGTAAGGAAGTATGAAATTCCCCAATGCAATGTAAATTGAGAACTGGTCTTTAGTAGTATGGATCACCATGGCAGGGGGTACAGGGAAAGTAGAACAGAGTGGGGAAATGGGGGCGTAGGGAACTCTGAGACAGTGGTAGAAGGAAGTGGACAATTTGGTGGAGGATATGGCTCTGCAGTGTTATGCATAAAACACTACCAGTGTTGTAAATCATGGTGCATAAAATAAAATGTTAAACAATATGATATACACCTACTTTTTGACTTAGCTGCCCCATTTATACCTAAATAATTTCTTTCATTCACTGTTTCTATGCTAATAATATACAAACTGTCAATTTTAGCTTTGGCTATCAAGCAGATCTGTTTTTCTTTCATTATTAAATTAAATTTTTATTAACCTCTAGGAACCCCAGGCCTTCCTGGACCAAAGGGTATTAATGGTCCTCCTGGGAATCCTGGCCTTCCTGGAGAACCTGGTCCTGTAGGTAAGAACAAAATAAGAGGGTTTTCTGTTCGGTAAAATTAATACTCATATTCATTTTGATAAAGTCATCATTTCTACGAGCTACAAACATTTCAAGACAAAGAAACATGATTATCATTCACTGGTTCTTTTTGGTGCTAAGTGGACAACTTGTAATAAAGGAAAAGTTATTTGAACTTATTATATCTTTGGGGGCTACTCATTTTTTTAAAAATATGGAACGCTTCATGAATTTGCATGTCATCTTTGCACAGGGGCCATGCTAATCTTCTCTGTATCATTCCCAATTTTAGTATATGTGCTGCCAAAGCGAGCACGCTACTCATTTTTTGACAAAATAAATCATTTTGAGTATTATGCAGAGTTGATAGCTCTGTTTTTTTAAATAACAATGTGAACACATTTTTCTGAGTTCTAAAGTAAGTCATTTTCTTGCCTTCATTAGGAGACCTGTTCTTCATCCGACCCATATCCCTATCTTACTCTATTGGATACTCTACAGTTAGATTAAAATGAGAAACTTGAAAAGTTTTGGATTTGAGTGATTGATTAGATTGTACTTTGTTCACATCATCTTTTTGTTCTTTTCTGCTTTTTTCTCCAGATTTCATGATTTTAAGCTATGTCTCAGAAGCACTGTGTATCTTGTAAATAAAAATATTATAAGATAGTTTGAAAATAACTGGGAATCTGGAAAGAAGGGAGAATTTGGAAGATAGATATAGCCTGCTTTACTGTGTTCTTTAGGTGGCAGAGGTCATCCTGGGCAACCAGGGCCTATAGGTGAAAAAGGCCAACCAGGTCAAGATGGTATTCCTGGGCCAGCTGGACAGAAAGGTGAACCAGGTACTGCATTTTTTGTTTCTAATTTCTTCCTTTATATTTAAAAATATTTTCTCTTGTTTACCCACAATGAAATTATATCATGTTTCTTACCTATGCACATTTCCCTTCTTAATTAATTTTTCCAATATTACCTCATGTGTACAATACATCAAAATGTCTTTCTTTTATGGAAAAATTCCTTGTCATTTCTTATCCATTTTTTAATATCACAAAGTTAGCAAACTTAATAGACTAGACAATTACCAATGGAATCACTGTAGCACTGTAGGACTGTCCTCCCGTTGTTCATCGATTTGCTCGAGTGGGCACCAGTAATGTCTCACAATAAATTGTGAGACTTGTTACTGTTTTTGGCATATCGAATACGTCACAGGTAGCTTGCCAGGCTTTGCCATGTGGGCAAGATACTCTCATTAGCTTGCTGGACTCTCTGAGAGGGACGGAGGAATCAAACCTGGGTCACCTGCGTGCAAGGCAAATGCCCTACCTGCTGTACTACTCCTCCAGCCCACCAATGTAATAAAATCTTGGGTTATTACCAACAGAACAGGGAACAGAGTCTGCCAAGAGAGGGAACAGAGAAAGGACAGTGGTAGAAGAATGTGGGTTCTCTGATATTGTATATGAAACTGAAGTATCATAAGTAAAAAACATTATTAACACTATTGTATACAATAATAACCCCAATAAAACTGATTGAAAATTGCCTAATTTTTTATCTTAAAGCTTATAAATTATCTGGTTATATCAATGGCCAATTATGTCAATGAAGAATATTGTATGCCTACCTTAAAAAATAATGTACATACTCTTCTAATTATATGAGGTGTATTACCACATAAATATACATTTATATAGTTCTTTCATTTATATTTCTATTATATGTTGAAAATTTTGCATGTTCATAACATACCTTCTAACACTTAACCTTTTCAAATTATTTTCTTTCATTTAAATTATTATTTATTTGAGCATCTTGGTTAATGTTCTGACAGGTCAACCAGGCTTTGGAATCCCAGGACCCCCTGGACTTCCAGGACTCTCTGGTAAACTTTTATAGAATTTGTTAGTTTAACCCATTAAATGGGAATATTCTCTAGTATACTTATTCTCAGCATCTGTCATTTGTTGCAATACAATCTAAGACAGCTGTAACCTAGAGTTATATCTTAAAGCATTCATTATTTAGCAGTTTTTATTATTTACATTAATACGAATGCATCCTTAAAGAAATCTATACACAGCTGTCTATTCATTGGCTTTATAAATGGCATTGAAATGATAAGTATAGAAAGCAAAAATATGTGACGTGTTAGATTTCACAAAAAGGTTTAGATTAGATCCTCCCAGGATGGGAGAAGAATGCTGAAAGTAGACTATAGACCAAAAGATCAAACATGATTGCCACTCAATGCCTCTTTTGCAAACCACAACACCCAAAAGGAGAGAGAGAATAAAAGGGAATGCCCTGCCACAGAGGCAGGGTAGAATGGGGCGATGGGGGGGGTGGGAGGGATACTGGGACCCGTGGTGGTGGAAAATGGGCACTGGTGGAGGGATGGGTACTTGATCATTGTATAACTGAAACCCAAGCACAAAAATTTGTAAGTCTACAACTGTACCTCATGGTTTTTCACTAATAAAAATTTTTAAAAAACACTTCTCTCCCTATGGGGACAACAAAAATTTAATAAAAGAACCTGCTCTACAAATATGTAATAATCATATTTCTTGAAAAATGATTTTATGTATACATATAGAGAGAGAGACTTGTATCTTGCATTTTGGTCAATATGTGTATCTATCTTTTCTCATTTTTCTCATTTATTCTTATACTTTCTGTAAGCACTAAATACTTAATTGAGTGCCTGGGTGCATTCACACATCTCTGTATTTATGTTTTGACATTTCCTTTGGATATTTTATGGGCGCTTTTCAAACCATACACAAGTCTGGGGGTTTCAATATTATATAATACCAACACAAACACAAATTAATGTTCCACTATTATGTTTTTTTCAAGAGTATTGGCAATATAGAAAATATTGAAAAGTAGATTATGATTCTGAGTCCTATATAAATTGGTCTTCAGGAATATACAGTAACCATTGAAGATCTTTATCTTCTGTTAAATGAGTATCAAAATTTGTATTCCCTACTTCTTTAGCTTATTCTTGTTTATACTTCATATTGTTCTTATTTAACCCCCTACATCTTTCTGTCGTGATCTTTGACCTGTATCCTTAATGCCTAGAATCTTTCAAGATGCAAGTAATTATTGTTTCTACATTTCTATAAATATTTTTATAGTTAACCTGATAACATAAATATATGTAATAAGAAAATGGGGCTTGGGTGTTTTGGAGATGTGGTTAGAGATATAAATGATCTGAATAAATTTTCTTGTTCAAATAATAATGAATGACTAATATTGTCATAATGATCCTCCTCTATCTTCACTACCCTCATCCCCCACACCACTGACCAACCATTGACTAGTCCTTGTGCCCTGTTTGTCCTGGCCTTAGATATTTGTTTCATACTGTTTTTTAATATCCCACAAATAAATACATTCATTCTATATCTCTCCCTTCCCTTCTGACTCCCTTCACTAAGCATGATACTCTCCAATTCTATCCATTTATAGACAAATTTCATGACCTCATTCTTCCTAACAGCTGTGTAGTATTCCATTGTGTAGATGTACCATAGTTTCTTTATCCATACATTCTAGGCCACTCAGATTGTTTCTAGATTCTGGCTATTGTAAATGATGCTGCAGTGAACATAGAAGTGCAGATGGTGATTCTGCTGTGTGTTTTTGGACTCCCAGGGTATCTTCCCGGAACTGGTATTGCTGGGTCAAATAGGTGCTCAATTTCTAGTTTCTTGAGGAATGTCCATATTGTTTTCCAAAAAGACTGGACCAGTCTGCATACCCAGCAGCAATGAATGGGCTTTCCTTTCTTCCTGAACCTAAGCCAGCACTGGTTGTTCTTGTTCATTTGTATGTATGCCAGTCTCTGTGGCGTAAGATGATATCTCATTGTTGTTTTGATTTGCATCTCCCTGATGATTAGTGATGTAGAGCATTTTTTCATGTGCCTTTTGGCCATTCGAATTTCTTCTGGAAATGATCACTCTAGACAAGAACTGAGTGTTGAAAGCAGGTAAAGGTATACATGATAACCTTTTAGCATTTGTATCAGAATCCATAATACCTAAAATGAGAGATAGAAAGAGAAAGAGCGAAAGATAAGAAAGGAGACTGCCATAGAGGCAGACTGGGCTGGAGGGTGGCTTGAAGGGGTGGAAGGAAACTGGGGACATTGGTGCTGGAAAATTACACTGGTGAAGGGATGAGTGTTGGAACATTGTATGACTGAAACACAATCATAAACAAATTTGTAATGCTCTATCTCATGGTGATTCAATAAAAAAAATTTAATTTTTTAAAAAATTATTTAAATGAAAATTAATGTATTTCATTATATAAATAAAATTTAAAAAAGGAAACTAGGTATTTACCTTTGCATTATAACAGTCAAATCAATATAACTCATTATTTTTTTATTTAGAAAGCTGAGAAACATGTAAACATTATGTAAAACATTTCTTCAAAACTTTTAAGAAATAGAAATTATTATATTTATATAAACTACTAAGGATTATATAGAGATGCAATGAAAAACATGGAAAGAAAATGTTAACAGGTTTCTTTGTGTGAAGGAAAGTTTTTTTGATTTGATTGAGAAATGCTTGACAAATGTGTTAATTTCTTTATTAAATCAATAAATTGAATTAATCCCATATATTTCTCTATTAACTTAATAAAACATATTAAATATATCGAATGTTAAATTATAAAATAATTAAGCACCTGTCCATTCAATAAATACTTCTTAAAGCCTCAAAAATTGATGACTGAATACTTTGAGTCTTATAAGCAAAATATTCATGTAATTTAAAAAGTTTTCTAATGTCATTTTGCTTCCATAGGTCAAAAGGGTGATGGAGGATTACCTGGAATACCAGGAAATCCTGGCCTTCCAGGCCCAAAGGGTGAACCAGGCTTTCATGGTTTCCCTGGTGTACAGGGTCCCCCAGGCCCTCCTGGTTCTCCAGGCCCAGCTCTGGAAGGCCCAAAAGGCAGTCCAGGTCCCCAAGGTCATCCTGGGAGACCAGGTATGTATGTAGTCTACTTATTGGTCTTTTCTATTTTTCTGGCAGGTTATCCAGTCATTAGACTTAGAATGTAATCTAAGAGCAAGCTAAATAAATTGTTTGATCAGTACCTAACTCCATCGATTTCCATAGCATCTAATAATTCTTTTCAGTAATACCTTTCATCATTTACTTAAAGTTGAACCAAACAGGCCAATATATAAAGAGTGAATTTGTTAGTCTTTTTATAAAATGTAAAGCTGGCTATACTGATAACCTGGCAGCAAAATGCATTTGAATTTTAAGTGTGAGATTCTCAGCATGTCCTCACAGAAATCTTATTAGTGATCACCCAGTAGACACTTGTGGTTCATACCAAAAGTGTTGTTGTGGTTCTGTCACATGATCAGGAAATATTACTAAACACAATAAAAATTTTTCACTAGCAAGTAGACAGTCAAATGTGTCTTCAACATCACAGCATGATTAAATTGATTAGTGACCTTTTCATACCAGCTTCATGTATATATCTCAGTTGTCTTGTATTTACTACTCTAGAAGTTTGAATTTTACTTCCACGTTCACTTTTTATTTTGTGTCCGTGCTCTCATTTCGTTTTACTAAGTTTAGAGATACTCATGTTTTAGCCAAGATTAATGTTTCTGAGTCCAATCACTGGTGATTAACAACATTTTTATATTTCATATTTGATTTTTATATTTCTAATAATGGAAAAGTTTGCCATCATTGATTTAAAAAGAGATAAAGTTAAAAGTTTTCAACATTATTTTATCTATTAAGAGTCTGATTCAGTTTCTAAATGTGTTAAAAATGAAAATTTCTATTAAAATTGCAATAAAGTCCTAAGTGATGTGATAATTTTAATAAGATATCTAAAATGTGAATCACTGTCACTGTCACTGTCCTCCCGTTGTTCATCGATTTGCTCGAGCGGGCCCAGTAACATCTCTATTGTGAGACTCGTTGTTACTGTGTTTGGTATATTGAATACGCCACGGGTAGCTTGCCAGGCTTTGCCACACGGGCGAGATACTCTCAGTTGCTTGCCAGGCTCTCCGAGAGGGGTGGAGGAATCGAACTCACGTCGGCCATGTTGACTGCGTGCAAGGCAAATGCCCTACCTGCCGTTCTATCGCTCCAGCCCTAAAATGTGAATCAATAGTATCATATTCTATATTCAGAGAATCATTTTTTCAAACCCAAATTTATTTTATCTGATTGTTTATAAAAATTATTAAATTTTTACCTTGGCTTACTTTTGAAGACAACCAGTGAAAATTTCTTCAGCTATGTTAATCTTCTTGCATGCAGTAGTGTATAAAAATAGCACAAATATTTTGCTTGATTAGGCATGCAATAGTTCAATTAAGCCAAATTATTATCTCTTTCATATTTTAATCAGTAGTATGGTTATTCATTTTTCGTGGTTCAAGGGATCAAACTTAGGGCCTCATATATGCAAAACAAGTTTTTTATTACTATGATACATATTTGACCCTATTATTATTCTTACTAGTAATGGAATTAACTCTTCAACATTACTTTGAAATATACCAGCATGTGACATTTTCTTTCAAAACTACTTTAGAAGAACACACATCTTATGAATGTTTGTGGTTTCTCATATCTTCATAAATCACCAATTAAAATGGATTTTAAAAATTAATTGCCCATAGAATTTATTTTTCTTGGGGTTGAAATGATACTACAGTTGGTAGGTACTTTTACCTTTATGACCCTAACCCAAGTTCGATCAACAGCACCCATAGCCCAAATCATCCCTGAGCACAGAACAAGGAGTAAACCTTGAGTACCATTGGTACAGCCTTAAAGCAAAGGAAAAAATTGATTGTTCCTATTCTGATTTCTAATTATCATGGTTATGATTATTAGAAAAATGATTTTTGACCGTTAGTCTGTCCCATATATTCTGTTTATTTTATATTGATGCATAGTGATGATAATTTGGTGTATACACTGATGCATGAATATGAACTTTTAGAGTATTTTTGATTTTAAATTTTAACATGAAATAATTTAGTATAATGCTTTTGTCTTGATATTTCTAACAATTTTGATATTTTTCTTTTTTGTAAATGAATGACATTGGGCCTTGGTGAACTTTGAACCCTTTCTAGGTCCTACAGGTTAGCTCCTTGACTTCTAAGTAGTAACTGCATGAAGTTTGAAAGTATATTTACCTTTCTATATATGTTTGTGTGTGCATATATTTAGATATATATTAGTATTATGTATATATGTGTATTTATATATACATGTACCTTATGTTTTCAAGTGTTTGTCAACTTAAAAGGATGTATATTCTAATTCAGTTCTTATAATGTTCACTTACACCCAAAAGTTGTTTGGAGCTTGTAGAGCCCATTGTTCCTATCTCTTGAGATACCCCAGATTACCTAGTTCAGAAAATTAGTTTAACACTTCAAATTTCATATATTTGTATCATTTTATTTGAGAATTTATAGTACCCAAAAATGAATTGTATAGATTACTTTCAGAGTAGAGCATGTTTCTTTTATCTATTTGTACCTGTTAATGTAAATGAAATTGAACTGTTTTTCTAAAATTATTGTACTGTTTTTCTAAAATTATTCTTTTTTGAACTGTTTTTGAACGGTTTTTCTAAAATCGAACTGTTTTTCTAAAATTGAACTGTTTTTCTAAACTGTTTTTCTAAATTTATTGACTCTTTTTCTAAAATTATTCTTTTTTGAAAACTAAAATATAGTTTCAGGACTTGAAAATATGCATTTATTGACTTGCTCTAGCTCCTAAACAAACCCATCTTCACATTTTGGGTTATCACTAAATTCCAAATTCTGCTGCTAGAAAATGGGACTAAAGCAGCACAGAGTAAAAAAAGAAAAACTAAGTTCTACCTTTTCATATTAGAACCATCTCAATCTCAGTTTAATCATATACATATTAACTCTCCAAAGGGTAATTGTGAAGAATTGCCCAGTGGAAAATTATTGCTCTATAGTGAAAATATTTGCTTTATAAAAAGTAAGGGGGGAACATGAATATATTAATGTGTTTATTATTAAGGTAAAGGCCCTCCCGTTGATCGTCGATTTGCTCGAGCGGGCCCAGTAACGTCTCCATTGGAGACTTTGTTGTTACTGTGTCTGGCATATCGAATACTCTCGGTAGCTTGCCGGGCTCTCCGAGAGGGGCGGAGGAATCGAACTCGGGTCGGCCATGTTGGCCGCGTGTAAGGCGAACGCCCTACCGCTGTGCTATCGCTCCTTAACACTATTTTAAAATTTTATGAGAAGTAAAAAAGGGAAAATTGTAATTCAGAAATTCTGATTATTGTGAATGACAGAACAAATGTTTTCTTGGGAATTTAAATTAAATTTGCCAGACTCTTAAAAAGCTTCTACTTCAATCTAATTTGATTTTTTATTCCCTCATGATTTCATTATTTTGCAGAACCATAAATTCTAGTAGTCTTATTATAGAATAATATCATATCATTCATATCATAGAACCATAGATGTAGGAGGGACTATAATGTATATATTTATATTTTATATTTGTCAATAAGATAATGTCCACCAGACATTTGTTAAATTGGCTCGACAGATGTTATTCAAGACTATTGCAGTTGAGAAGAAACTATTGCAACAAGAGAAAGAGATTGAGCTCAACTGTGTACAAGGAAAAGTGAGGATTCCTAGCTAAGTAGCAGAGAGGATTCCTAGCTAAGTAGCAGAGTGAGTGAGTAGATGATAAAATTACTATAAGTAGATATGAATGGTAGGCAGATTCTTGCAAAAGGGGCCAAAGGCCTATAAGTATTCTTGCTAAAGAGACTTAGATATCAAGGATTGGAGCTGAGGAGCTTAATTGGATATGAAGGAAGATGGAACTCTAACTTTGTAAGATTTTTTTGCTTAACTCAAAGCGGCCTGTCTGAAATTAAATCAAGGGAAGAGTCATGAGATTTTAAGACACTTGCTCAAGGTCATACTGTGATTTTCTCACTTAAGACTCCCCAGTGCTCAATTTTGTTTCTTTTCTAAAGTTGGCATATATTTTTTTTTCGTTTTGGGTCATACCCAGCGATGCACAGGGCTTACTCCTGGCTCATGCACTCAGGTATTACTCCTGGTGGGGCTCGGAGGACCATATGGGTGCTGGAAATCAAACCCGGGTAGGCCGTGTGCAAGGCAAACGCCCTACCTGCTGTACTATCGCTCCAGTCCCAAAAGTTAATATATATGTTTACACAACACTAGTTGCATAATCTAAATTCTTGTTTTAGTTATAAATAATTGACACAGAAAAGCTGCTTCTAACATTTTAGGAGATGAGGATCAGCCATGAGCAAATTGAAACCTATCTCCAATTTCTTGTTTTCTGTTAACCTCAAAAGTTCCTATCAACCCCTACTTCTTGTATTTTTCCTAATGAGTGTCGTTAAAACAATTACAAAAAGTGCATGCTACTTAACTATCGCCAAGAAAAAGAGACTAGGGTATACTTTGAAGTAATTTTGAGTCCTCCCTTGTTTGAATAGCATAGAAATTTGCCTGCTGCCTTGATCACTTCTAGACATTACTTTTAGCTAGAAGTACATTGCTTTTTTCCTGATGCAGTAGAACATATCCAAAGAAGAAAAAAGGAAAGTAGCCACATTACTTTAAAAATGATTGAACACCATTTTATTTTTACAAGATGTTCTCTAAATTGCATACGTATTGGTCACCGCAATTTCTCTTTCATGCAACAGTTAAAGACTAAACGTTAAGTCAAAACTGGATATAAAATATATCAATTCATTCATCACCTTATCTTTATTTATTGCCACTTACATATGAGACCTTAGGTTTTATATTTTATTTTGTTTTTCACTTTAGCCCTGTTAGGTTATTTGAGAAAAAATGGTTTCAGAGCCTCATGTACAAAACCGACTTGGCATATAACTCATTAAAATGCTACCTTTTAGAAATTTTGCTATGATAGGACATAAAAACTTCTTGTTATTTACTCAGACCAAAATTTCACATATCTTAATGATGCATTTTCTGGGAGTCCCTTTTATTTTTATTATATCAAACACATAAAATGTCTTTACTCAGGGCCACATAGATAGTACATGGGTTAAGGCACGTGGCTTGAATACAGCTGACCCTGGTTCAATCCTCGGTACTACACGTGTTGCCCTGAGTCCTACAGGAGTGATCCCTGAACATAGAGTCAGGAGTAACCCTTGAATACCACCACGTGTGGCCCAAAAGTTTAAAAAATGTCTCTTCTCAAATTCTGAATTTGGTCAGAATTCTAACTTATTTAACTAATTGTATGGCCATACTCTGCTAGATGTGTTGTCTTAGCAAATTTACTATAACTGAATTGAAAACCATTTATACAGACATAAGCCATTTTTTTAACCTTTTGCATTTCAAAGTACATAACATTTTAAATATTTTAGTAGTCGTCAGTAATGTTAATGTTGTACATTAATATGATATGCCATCTTTTACATCATATAATGTACTTCTACTCCTCCTAGAGGAGAGTTTGAATTTAGCAAACCTTTGTGGTCTTCGTTGCATCCTGCACATGTCAGATAAAATATCAGGTAGATATTTTAAAAACCAAATGAATAAAAAATATCTTGCAAGGGACTATCAAACTCTGAGTGAGAAAACATCAGAGATTGAATTGCTTGGAATCTCATAGGTATAATAGGTAAAGGTAAAGGCCCTCCCGTTGTTCGACGATTTGCTCGAGCAGGCCCAGTAACGTCTCCATTGGAGACTTTGTTGTTACTGTGTCTGGCATATCGAATACATCACAGGGAGCTTGCCAGGCTCTGCCGTGCGGGCGAGATACTCTCGGTAGTTTGCCGGGCTCTCCGAGATGGGCGGAGGAGTCGAACTCGGGTCGGCCATGTTGGCTGCGTGCAAGGCAAACGCCCTACCGCTGTGCTATCACTCCAGCCCAGGTATAATAGTAGAGCCAGAAATTAAAACTAGGTCTTCTTATTCTTAGGATCCAGTGCTCTATCAAAACGTTTGCTTTCTGCCAGTCTCATTATTTAGAAATTATAGCAAAGCTGTAGCACTGTAGCACTGTCCTCCCATTGTTCATCCATTTTGCTCAAGCGGGCCCAGTAACATCTCCATTATAAGACTTGTTGTTACTGTATTTGGCATATTGAATACGTCACAGTGAGCTTGCTAGGCTTTGCCGTGCGGGCAAGATACTCTCGGTAGCTTGCCGGGTTCTCTGAGATGGGTGGAGGAATCAAACGTGGGTTGGCCAGGTCAGCCGCCGGCAAGGCAAACACCTTACTGCTGTCCTATCGCTCCAGTCCCTGCAAAACTGTAAGAAAAAGGAAATTGTATTTATAGTCAGTTAACATTAACCAAGAGATGCATTTTGTATAATTACCTTTTTTATTCAATGGTTCTTCTTTTACTAGTTAATAGACTGAAAAATGTATGTGTGCGTGTGTGTGTATGTGTGTGTATACACTGAACCATAAGAGTAAACAGAACACTTTTGGTGGTTTCTTGTGTAGAAATATCTTAAAGCACTCATTTTCACTGATAGCTTTTGGAAGATTCAATTCCCTTTTCAAGTCCAGTAGTGAACAAATGTATTTTGGACATTTCTCTCTGAGTAATGTGCTACAAGTAAGTGCACACAATAAAGTTTCTCAATAAACTTTGGGGAAAATCTTTTTAAAAATTTGGAAAAAAATAAGTAATTTTCAAAACAGACCAACTCTTGGTAATAGTCATTGTGTACTCGTGTTTTAAATTCTGTAATTAATTTCCTATGATCTTTGTTCTTTTGTGTAATAGGGATTTTAAAGTTAACTATGCCTCATTGGAACTGTATGAACAAATCAAGAAATTTGCACTTAATGTTTTTGCTAAAGGATGATAGAGGTCAAAATTTTTTTCAGAAAATTCTCCTTTGTTAAACAAATGGGAGGCTGTCAGTGAAATGATGCTCTCTTGCCAATTTAAAGCTCTGAGATGTTGTTAACTTTTAGAAAGCTCCAGTAATATTGTTAATGTGTCTCCATAGTGTTTTCTTTTTTTGATATATGAAAAGTAGCAGCTTATTTTCTAAAATAAGCTTCATTTTTAAAGATATGAATTTC